TCTACACTAAATACAGTTTCTGTTAAAAAAGAGGATCAAGATTTCCTCTAAAGACGGTTCCAGGAGCATAACAGTTTCACTTTTTCATCTTTTAGAATCACAGATTAGAGTAGCTCTGTCTGAGATCTTGCACTCTGGGTCTAAAAGCAGACATTCAAGTGGGAGTAGACACTTTATACATGGTACCAAGGATTTATCTCTGCTTAGTAATATATTCCCATGATCCAGAAATGCAAAAGTGATCTTCTCTGTGACATAATTGTTAACATGGGGACTCTTATTTATTTTCTCAGCTACAATGCATGTAAAGCAAATAGACCATTGCAATACCATTACACACACTCCTGCACTCACTTTGGAGACAATCAATATCAATTATCAAATTCTCAACAGGAGAGAAAGGCTGTGAAATTGCCCATAAAATAAATTTACAAAGTCATCCCAATATCTTCTATGCTCTGTTCTAAAAATGATACGTAAATAATTATTTCAAAGGAACTTTCACTTCATTACCATACCAGAGCCTATTCATGACCATACTGATGATGACTATACCATCCTGTGTTTCACAGAAATGAGGAAAATAAATTGGATTCTTGTTTCAGTAAAGGTTCTTGCTTTGTAATGGATTGTGCCCCTTGGAGCAGGGTCATTCTCTTTTACTAGCTTCTCAAGCTCCCTAACAGACTTGTATCTTTTATTCAAATAAAGGTGATGTTTGCTTTTTTAACCAATTACTGAAACTTTAAGAGCCCAGGAAAAGACTTTCAACCCTACAGGAACTCTTTATGAGTAATATTACAGTTTCTTTTAGGAAGGTAACCCTTAGGTTTTCTAACATTCATGCAAGTCTTGTTGTCATTGTCTCTTGTGAAAGACCCACTAAGTAGGATGAGAGTTTTCTTACAACACTCTAAACATCCCAGACTCTTCTGTGAGTTTCTCCTCTCTTTTTCCCTGAGAAAAAGAGCTACAAAAATTTATCTTTCTATTTTATGGTACAAGTGATGATCGTAGCTTCTAAGGAACTGGTGGATCAATATGCAGATGATGTTACATCTATGCTGAATCACCTTTGGAAACACGAGAGAGAAGGAAAAGGAAATTTTCATTTTTAATATATATAGTTTAAATGCCACTAGTGCCCAGAGATACTTGACATAGCTTCCTGACCCATTTGATATTTGCTGTTACACACATCCAGATGATAGGAAAGTGCCCAGCATTAGTCCATGGTCAGACTTTATCCTATAGTCCCTCAAAAAACTCAGTAGAGCAGACTCCTGGTAGCTGAAGTGCATTCCAGTCTAAGAGGCAGCACAATGTATTTCAGACAACAGAAGTAACATTGCTGTAAGCTGTTTAATGTATGATTTTCTGCCTCTCCAAGTGGAGGATTTGCTCTTTCCATCACTATAATATGCCAGTAGTCCTCACTCATTTTAGTGAAAACATGCTACAGTGAGCGTGTTGCAAAACTTCAATGCATTGCAGCCTTTCCTATCATTGCATCACTTTCTAGGGTGATTATGTGTATCACATCTAGGTATCATTTAATACTGTGTAGTCTGTGTTTGTCCACACAAAGTACAAATGCATCTGTTATTTTACAATGTGCTACCAACTTAGAAGTGTCATGTTTGTACTTTTGAGTATTTCATACATTTATTCTCTTTAGTCCTATAAATGTCTCATCCTTAAACCTTTATCTCTAATTTAGACAACTAATTGCTGTAGACAAATTACATTATTCCCTTTCATATTTCCCTATATGCTAAATACTGATAAGTAGCCTCCATTTATCAATGATATTCAGCTTTACATTAATTATATTTCAAGGCACAAAAAATTATTGTGTAGTAGCACTCTTTAGTGATGTACAAATGAATCACATACTGAATATGAACCAAATACAAAGAATTTATGTGTAACCAAGTGAAATGTTGAATCCTGAGCAGAGATGAAAATAATACATTCAAATTAATTCAGGCAATTTTGAATACCATCCCTTTTGCTACATCTTATGCTCTCAACAATCACTCTCTTTGAACTGCAGCAACTGGGATTAAATATTAGGATGTGTGGAGCCTACCTGAATCTTTCTGAATAGCCACAATTATCCTATGATTTGTAATGTTGTGCTCATGCTCTCTAATGCTAACACCAGGCACTGGTTTTATTACGAAAATCACAAATTTACTAATGCCTTTTAGAACATTATTTCAGCTGGTTTTATGTGCCAAGTTAAACTGACTACACATGCAGCATAAAATGAGGGATAAAATATGCTCTAATGTAACTGTAATTAGGGTAGAAATTAAAGGACATTAGCTAGTATAGCACAAAAACCTCAAAAAATTATTACCCCAGATATATTTGGAACCTTAAGCTTTGAGGCTTAACAAGCAATTTGAAAGCAAGTCAAAGTCTGAGTATGATGCTAATAGATAACCACCTGTGTCCTTCTAGTGCTCTGGAAAGCCTCATTAACCATGCAAGGCCATGGATCTTGGCTCCTTTTCCACTTAAGTAAATTTAGCACTATGAAGAACCATGATGGAGTGGGTATTTCATGCTAATGAACTCTTTGCTCCACATGGTACTCTCTTCCTATTTGAAAAAATAACCATTTGTAAGGAAAGTCAATTTTTTAGCTTAAAATATTAGTCAATCAGTAGTTTGAGCAATTCCCCAAGATGATCCAAGAATAAAGAATCAGCTAGGACTGTTTTCTAACTCAGACATGTCTATTAAATAGAACTCTGTGTGGAAGTAGTCCTTTGTTTAAGAACAATAGAAACTGGATCAAAAGTTTTTTATTTTAACTGTATCAGACTCAGCAAGGTTGCTGCAAAACAAGATTAAAAACATACCTGGGAAATGATTGCACAGACCTCTAGTGGACTGAAATTGAGCTACTCAGACTTACGTGTTGCTTAACACAGCAACAAATTCCCATAGTTTATCTCTAGTGTCTTCTTGCAAAAACTAAATACTGCTGACAAGTTTTATTCTCCAGCAACTCCAGTAGCGTTTTCTGCTTTCCATATATAAAGATTTCTGGTACAAATATCAGCCAGAACGTGTCCCAGAAATACAGAATCTTACTAAAAGGCAACTTTTGAAAGACATCCAGTATTATCACGTATTGTTTGCAGAGCAGAAAATCAGATTTCAAAAGAGTTCATGAAGGTAACTTCTGGAGCTGCACAGATCGTATTCAAACAGGGCTGTTTTCCACTGTTTTGTCTTCCACTACCAGCTTCTGAGCTAAATAAATCTCTACAGTTCTCACAGCTCTGGACTGAATGGAAGATCTCAGATTTCAGGTCTGATGACAGGATTAGACTGGAACCTGCACCATTCAGAACACCAAGTGACATCCTGAATTTTCAGGTGTTTTACCCCAGACCGGTAGCAGAATATGTTTGGGGTATTACACACATGTTCTTGTAGATCTGTAAATAATTAGGCTTCTTAAAACAAAACCTAGAGAGATGAAATTGATGATGTCCGTCAGGTCTAGAAAGTACACTTGCCGCTCCACTGAAATGGTCCTGAGCAAGACAAATCCTTATACCATCCCTTCAAGAATTGTTTTTAAAAATCTTCCAGTTAATGCTATTAATTAAATGAGTCACATCACACATCTTGAAGAGATGACAGAATTATCAAAAAAAAATGACATAAGGAAAGAGTCATAATAATGGTTGAACAGGTCACATGACTGCTTTTGACTTCAGCATTTCTATTAGATTCAGTAAGAATTAAAAAACCAAAACAAACAAAAAACCAAAACAAATGAGCAAAAATAAAAACAAAAACAAAAAACAAAAAAAACAAACAAAAACAAAACAAAACAAAACAAAGAAAAACAACCTCCCAAGCAGATTGCTGTAGAACATAGGAAAATGCAAAGCAAAACTGTGTAAGAGAAATTTTAGCAGATAATAACTATAATTGAGTATTCTTTGCATGAATGCATTTTCCAAAATTAAGTATCTCTGCTGTCCAGAGATGGATGGCATCAGAAGCCTAATATATAGAGGTATATATGCGTCACTTGCTCAGAGTTGCTCCTAATTGAGAACGAGTAGTCTCAGACAAAGGGTCATATCTCAGCAAACCAAAAGCAATCTACAAAAAGCTATAATCTGCTTCAGTTTTATTATGGCTGAGAGAAATATGGAATATGGCTCGTATGGTTTCAACTAATGATGTCAGTTTATCAAAGGTGGAGAACTGTTCACCTAAGAAGAACGTTGACATCAAAGGCAGAAAGGAAAGAGTGCAAACAAATACATCTACATTTATGCATCTTCCCATTGTCTTGTAAATGGAAAAATATATACTACTACCTGCCCATTGGTGGGTTTTCATACACCTATTGGAAAAGTGAGCATCGATGAGAGTACTAGAGAGGGGCACAGTGTATTAGAGGTAGAACCAGATAACATTTATCATTGTTACAATGATAAAATGTATGTCAAAATATTGAAGAAAGAAGTACATCTCTTCTCTGCATATACAATTGCTGTTTAGGAACAGTACTAACCACAGGAGATACCATTTCTGGACAGTTATGTTGCCAGACTACTGTATTGGAACGGGTAGAAATATGCACCACTGAGAAGCATAGCCTTTTGATAAGGGAATACACAGAAATAATTAGGGATTAGGAAAGCTAGGGAGATGCCTCTTGAGATTTTCAAAAGTACTGCACTTCATTGGCAATTAGGCACTCAGCCTCTGTTGTATCCTTTCTAGGTACTAAAAAGTGCAGTTCTAATGCAAAGTCCTTACACTCCACACACTCACTTTGTATTAAAGCAAATGAAATAACTTGTTGAGATATGTCTGGAGGCATTAACCTTACCTTGCATTACTGCACACAGTTTTAGAGAAAGCCACTGCTATGAGATTTGAGAGGCTCTGCTGGCCACCAAGTGCTGCCTCCTTACTAGTGTTGTGACTGAAAACATGTGATGCTTGTGCGGCACTTTTCTCTCAGTTCCCAGGTATTTATTTAACTTTTTCAAGAATGGAAGTTCTGCTCTTAGAAGTCACCTGAAACCTGAAGTGAATGGATGTTATAGATTAGAAATTCAAGAGAATTTTTCTTTTTCCTGTCCCCCCCCACTGTAGGAAAGACAGAGTTTGAATGGAAAGGGGGAAGGGAGTTAATTAGCCTTACAAAAGAACTAGCTAGCCAGGCTGCATTCCTCGCTGATGGTCCATCAGAGGCTGGGAGGAGAGGGGAGGAGTTTTGGGAGGGTGGGGGCTGGCTCTGCTCAGAGGGGAGAGGGGCAGACGGCGGAGTTCGCTCTCTGGGACGGAGACGGGGATCTGCGTGCGGGCATTTGGAGAGAAGGCCTAGGAGTCTGTCTTTCTGGCTTTTCGTCCTGGTGAGGCCAGACCACCGGACTCGGTCGGCTCGCACACTGCCTCGTGACTCCAGCCGGGACCTACTGGGTTTTCATCAGAGAGGTCTGTGCTTGCTGGGAGAGAAGGGCAGAGCCTTGGAACACCGTCATCTGGGAACAACAAGAACTGCAGGCCCTGCACCTCCAGCGACCCAACAGCGCCCCCTGCAGGCCATGATTAGGACTGTGCTAAAGGACAGAGAAGTATTCATTCAGACTTTTTGTTTGTTTGTTTGTTTTTCTAGGACTACTGTCTTGGTTTTTTTGTGTTCTGTTACTGTTTTTGCCAACATACATATATCTTTTTAATAAAGGGTCGTTATTTTTTCTGTTTGTTTCCACACTTCCTCGATTAAAGCCCCTCAATTTTGAATTTACAATTGCTGAGAGAGAGAAGTTTGGTCTATCTCATAACTCATCCTCTTTAGCAAACATTCCAGTCCTTTCAGACTGAGACAATGGATCTCTGACCATACCTGGCCATGTTGCAGCTAGGCAGGTCACAAAATGTGAAGAGGACAAAGACCAAAACTAGAAAACATTCAGAGTTAGAAAGGGTTAGTAATGCAATCAGCTTTCAGAAATATCTGCCCACCATCAGGATGCATGCTAAATTGTATTCTCCAAGAAAGCTTTTCTACTACAAATAGCATGAAGAAGACCTAGCAAGGAAGAAAAGTGGAGAGGGGGCAATCTGAGCACTGTCTCTCTACTGAGACAAAAAGAAATGATTCAACTGAACTGCATTAAGACCTCCACAGAACAGAACTTAATTACTTGGGGAACACTTAGGCATTATAGTAATAAGCACTACAGGAAACTAATGCAACTGTATAAAACATTAAATAGCTTAATTTATTTCTAATACCTGTTTTTACCCGTTACCTTATTCTAACCTTTCTACCACATTTAGGGCAATAGCAGTAAAATAACAGCAAATTCAGATGCATAAACATTTCTTCTGCTTTTCTCCTATCTCACTAACTCCAATATATCCAACTCTTCAGTGAGTCTCACTGTAGCTGCTCCTCAGAGATATCAGAATCATGGAATCTCAGTTTACATTAAATATGTAAAAAAAGCTTCTTCATTCTGGGAGTCAGAATGATGAGTCCCTAATACATCAGCACCAAAAGGAAATAAAGAGTGCTCCTAAACCACAGAGCGGTTACTGATGCCATTACAGAGATCTGAACTAAGATAACAGGCAGTGAAGATTTAGATTTTCAACAGGAAAATAGTAGGGCTTAAGGAGCCTGTGACCTAAGCACCTCATAGATCATGAGATGTTACAGGGAAGAGCACCTAATCACTATACTGTGGCTGTAGCCTTATCATGATTTCAGAGAGGAAGCTGTCTGTTTACATCACTGCTTGAAAGTTCCTATATGCATCTCTATAGAGCTTATGTAAATGCCAAAACACCCATTTTGAGATCAGGAAAGGAAACATACCTCAGAAAAAAATCTAGTCAGGTATTAATTACTGTAAAAGAGAAGTATTTGTTTGTGAGTTGTGATAGAACTGGTAATCTCCTTAATCGCAGAGAAGAGTGAGAAGTGAGATACTGAATCTTTCAAGGATTTGATAATGTTTAATGAGGTTTAAAAGAGAAATCTGAGAGCTAAAAAGTAGCAGTTATCAAGCAAGGACTTATCATTTAACTCAATAAGAAAAAAAGGCAAAAAAAAAGAAGGTAGTTTTAAAGTATTTTAGAGCCTTTACCTAAAGTTGTGCATTGGTTTGTTTTCAGCTACTTTGTTACTTTGTTTTTGCAACTATAGAAAATTAAGTAGAGTCACGGTGGTTGAAGCCGTAGATCAGAGGTCTGACAAAAATGGACATATAGAATATCAGTTAATAACAATGTCTCTTTCTTTTCAATATTTATTCATACAAAATAAAGCCCTTTCAACTCCTCATTTTGCAAGAAGCATGACACATCATATAACCTAATACTTTTGCATTGGCTGTGCTGAAAATTTTGGTCCTTAATGCTAAGCATCACTGGCCTTGGAGATAGATAGTCTTAGCAGATTCTGAGTCTTTCCTTGAGTAAAATGTGCTGCCAGTACAACCCCCCTGAGCAAAGTCTCAGCACTGAGACTTTCTCAAGCTCCATATACTAGCACCATCCTGGCCCAACAGAAACCGTATCATTTTATTTTATAGAAACATATGAAAAACACTGCAGCTGTTCAGTGTATTTAAACTTTGTTTCTCTAGGTATCTTTGTTTGGTGCTTTTTGTTGCTTTGTTCTTTTGTTGTTTATTTTTTCCCATTTACTTACTGGATTTTTGTATTTGCTTCACACAGTGTTAAGTAGGAGAGCTCACCTTCTCCTTATGAGACACTTGATTCAGTGACAGATTTGAATATTTGACATTAGACCATGAATCACCCATTTGCTCTGACTTTCTTCCACTGTCTTTCAAGGTTTGTTTGGAGTGAAGCTGAGATAAATAAGGTAGCTGCAAATTTCCCAGCAAGGACTGTGAAACAAAAGTAGCCCTAAGAAACCTAGACCTCAGCTCCTTTAATCTGCCAGCAAAACAGGTACTCAGACAAAATCCTGCAGGGACATTATTCCCTGTAATTCTCCAACAGTATGTAAACTTATGAAATCCAAGGACCAAACAGGTGGTTATTCCACTTACCCTCTAGCTTTTGTTTCACCATGTCACAAACTCCATTAAAGAATATTTAGCAAATACACTGTTTACTCTAAAGGATACATAACTGTAAGGCAGGGGACCTGAAACTTGCTGTGTACTTTAATTAATTGTCTCTTCACTCCAAAGATGCTTTTGGCCCTGCAGCCACATGCAAACATAACAAGTACTGATATTGCAGTTTTAAGTACTACCTGCTTGCTCTTCCCACTTTTGAGAAAACTCAGGCTAAAAAAATATCATTGTTTTAGGATGACGAGACAAGGAAGAAGAGGTGCTATTTCTGAAAGAAAAAGAAAAAACAGAAACAAAACAAAAAAATGATAACAGCAACAAAAACACAAACTGTAAATAAAAATTAAACTGTCTCTTAAAGCAATCCTTTAGGGTCATAATACTTAAAGTAAAAATTTTATAGCAACTCACTCTTCATATATTAATGTATTTGTTATAAACTAGAGCCAAGTTTCCTAGAGCCAAAACTAACATCACATCTTGAACTTGTTCCATTGTTACTTTATTTTTCATGAAAGACTAGTGGATACATATGACTTAAAATTGTTGCTGCTTTTAGTATTTTACAGGATGGAAGCACAACAAAGACTTACTATGCTCTTTACAGAAAAAACATGAGTGGTGAGGCTCTCAAATACTTAATCCAAAAACTTCTAGCTGTCTATCTTTCAAACTGATAAAGGGATTTTGTCTTGATTGAGTGGGTAAAATACATGAGTAAACTAGAATTACATATATATGTATATACATGGTATGAAAATATAAAATCTACACACATACTCACACACATTTTTCTCTCTATATATGAAGATAAACTGTTATCCCAAACAGCTATTGAGATAGCTGTCAAAACAATATGTTAGACATAAAATAGTACCTGCTCTCCCTGACTTTCACACTTCAGCTTGCCAGACACAGCCTTCCACAAACTGTGTTTAATGTGTTTACAGATAGTGGACTTTATTCACTATTGAGAAACCTGAAGTTTGCAGAATCTGCAAAATTAAGAACTATCTGTATGCTCTATATCTTACTTAAAGCGAAAGGAAATAGCAATGTGGAAAGATATTTTCAGAAAAACAGATACCATACAGCCCCCACCCCTAGCCTGCACTGTTAAACTGAAAACAACCACAACAAAAAAGCAGCAGAAGGCCTGGACAGCAGGGCCACTGTAACAGCACTGCTGGCTAAGGGAAATAAACTGTGAAGCCAGCAATTCTGAAAAGGTGAAAGAAAGATGGATATATTCAAACTGAGCCAACTGAAACTGTGTCAGGCAAACTACAACCCCCTTGTAACTCCAGATAAGAAGCTAGCCAGAAAACTGTTGGTGCACATTTACAGAAGAAGAGGCAGACGTAAACAAAGAGCAGCACTGAACGAGGGAAGAGAAAGAACAAGTCCTTCCATTAATGTGTTATCTCAGAAAGATAAAGAGAAAATTATCTTCAAGATCTGATTCAAGCAAAGACCTCTCTTCCACATGCAGAAGGAGGAGAGACACTGGCAGGAGCTGGCAAAAAGTGATCTGTAGACAGTACTCTAGATTTGAAGTGTGTTTTCAACAAGTCCTGCGCAGTGTCGGCAGTACTGAATAACATGTACTATAGCTTTTGTAGGATCAGCTGCATTCATCTATGTCTAGAAGTGGTATTCTTTGTGACAGACATTAATTTTTGCCATTAATAAAAGCTAGAGTCTTTCCAGAGGGTCAGTTACTCTGTGCGCTAAAAATCATGGGGTGGCCTCCAGGATGTTGTTAGGGACATTCAGAAAGGTTTTTCCTATTTTTATACACATTACTTTGTCCTTAGAGTAGCTAATTGGTAGTAGAATCACTGCTGTGAGAAATAGGTTCCAGGGGAAGATGAGGTGAATCCTGATGATCGCTCACTCTCTGTTAATCAGATCCATTTATTTTTTTTTTTTTCTTATCTGGAGCACTCAAAAAAGAGGGAGGAGCCAGAATCATAAAATCTGACTGTTACCATGAAAGCGTCTATTTCAGGTTTTTCCCCTGCAAATTTATTCAGGGCAGATATACTGAATGGGTATCAGAATCTGAGTCATAGAAAAATGTCCTATCTGCAAAACAAGACTTCAGAAAGTTTCATAGCTGTAGTATGATACATACAAAAAGGGGAATTCAGTGCTGTTATTCAATTTCTTGTTGACTAGGACTTCCAAAGCAGATTTTTATTGTTGACTATTAGCAATACTATGAGTTTAAAACTTGATGTAATAAACAGGACTGATATAAGGTGATCATCTCAAAGTATATTTACTAATACTTCTATTGAAGGATATTTGCTCACATCTGGATATACTTTCAAAAGTAAGGATAATCTTGTAGGAGTGCCAGATTCACTAAGAAGGCTCATAATTTAAGTTTTTGTAGAAAACATCATTCATGTTATATTATCTTTGTTTCTACAGACCATTTCAAGTGAAAAAGATCTATCTGCACGTCTTCTGGA